CAACCCTGCTGCCCTTGCCAGACCCATCCGAGGAGCACAATTGCCTCCAGATTCTGGCGGAGGCCCATGGCACCCGCTCCGACCTAACAGATCAATCGCTGTCGAACCCAGATTTTATCTGGTTCATGGATGGGAGCAGCTTCCTCCAAGAAGGAGAACGGAGGGCCGGAGCAGCCGTCACCACTGAATCAGAGGTAGTTTGGGCCTCACCGCTGCCGCCTGGAACATCGGCCCAAAAAGCAGAGCTGATCGCTCTGACCCAGGCCCTCCAGATGGCGGAAGGTAAGAGACTCACGGTCTATACCAATAGCAGATATGCCTTCGCCACTGCCCATGTACATGGAGAAATCTACAGAAGAAGAGGCCTCTTGACCTCAGAGGGTAAGAAAATTAAGAACAAAAAGGAAATTTTAGACCTCTTCAGGGCATTGTTCCTCCCACATCAGCTCAGCATTATACATTGTCCCGAGCACCAAAAGGATGACTCTGTTGTAGCGCGGGGAAATCGGCTGGCTGATCTGACAGCCCGGACAGTCGCCTTACAATTCCCTAGGGGCGACCAGCTGCTGGTCTTGCAGGACCAACAGCCAAGCAGAGACCCCATGTCCTACAGCCCGGAGGACCAGGAACTAGCAAAGAAAATGGGGGCAGAATGGAGCCCCGAGCGACAAGCTTATATAATGGATAACAAATTAGTTATGCCAACCTCCCACACCAAATACATGCTCAAGTTTCTCCACGCGTTAACCCATTTAAGCAAAAACAAGATGAGGGCCCTTCTGGCTGATGAGGCTTCGGACACTGTATTATTGAATCAGGAACAGGTCCTCCAACAGGTGACTTCCACCTGCCCTGCTTGTGCCCAAGTTAATCCAGGAAAAGCCCATCTGAGCAGAGGGAGCCGCCTGCGAGGCCACCGCCCCGGAGTCCATTGGGAACTTGACTTCACCGAGGTAAAACCCAGACTGTATGGATATAGATACCTTCTGATTTTTGTAGACACTTTTTCAGGGTGGACAGAGGCCTTCCATACCAAGAAGGAGACCGCTAACGTGGTAACCAAGAAACTCCTAGAGGAAATTTTTCCCAGGTATGGAATGCCCCAGATATTGGGGTCAGACAATGGGCCCACCTTCGTCTCCCAGCTAAGTCAGAAGGTGGCCAGGCTACTGGGGATTGATTGGAAACTTCATTGTGCATACCGCCCCCAGAGCTCAGGACTGGTAGAACGTGCAAATAGAACCATTAAGGAGACTTTAACCAAATTAACGCTTGCAACTGGCACTAGAGATTGGGTGCTCCTACTCCCATTAGCCCTTTACCAAGCCCGGAATACTCCTGGGCCTCACAGCCTAACCCCGTTTGAGATTATATATGGGGCTCCCCCACCAATTGTAAATTTCCTTCACCCTGATATCTCCTCTTTTGCCACTAGCCCTACCCTGGAGGCACACCTCCAAGCCCTCCAACTGGTACAAAAGACGGTGTGGAAACCCCTGGCCGATGCCTACCGGGAGCAACTGAATCACCCGGTGGTGCCTCACCCATTCAAGATTGGGGACTCTGTCTGGGTCCGACGCCATCAATCCAAGAACCTAGAGCCGAGGTGGAAAGGACCATACACTGTCTTGTTAACTACTCCCACTGCACTCAAGGTTGACAGGATAGCGGCTTGGGTCCACGCGTCACATGTGAAGGCCGCCAAAGAACCTGACGGAGCTGAGAACACCGAGACATCTACATGGAAGGTTCAACGCTCTCCAAACCCACTAAAGATAAGACTCACCCGGGGGCCCCCTTAATCCCCCTCATAGTCCTCCTGACATTAGAAGGGGCATCACCAGAGAGCCCTCACCTGGTTAAGAAAGTTACCTGGCAGGTCATTTCCCAAACTGGGGAAGTAGTCTGGTCAACGACTGCTCAACACGCTCCTAATACATGGTTTACCACCCTTGTTTCCACCATTATGGGCCCCCTAATCATCCTCCTGCTCATTTTATTGTTTGGGCCATGCATCCTCAACAGATTGGTGCAATTCATCAAGGATAGGGTTTCTGTTGGCCAGGCTTTGGTCCTAACCCAGCAGTATCAGAGGCTCAGACAGTCAGAGATGGAACTGACCCCTTATTCTCCATCCTAAAATGAAAGATTCCATTTGGTACAAAAGAAAATGGGGGAATGAAAGACCCCCACTCCATTATGAGGACATGGGGCATTGGGCCAATGAAATGCCCCCCCCCCCGTCCCAATAACTTAGCCTAAGAAACGCCATTCTGAAAGGCAAGAACCAGAAAAACAGGAGTTCACAGCTGTGGCCGGCCACCCAGCCTTGAGAGAGATAACTGTGGTCGGCCACCGGCCTTGGGAGAAAAACCATTGAGTCAAAACAGGATATTTATGGCCAGCCACCCGGCCTTGAGAGAGATAACTGTGGTCAGCCACCAGCCTTGAGGAAGAAGCAGCTGGGCTGGAAAAACACCCACTGTACCCTAGGCAAGGCCAAGTCAGCCACACACATCAAATTTCCGAGAATTAAAAATACGTCCCCAAGTTCACCCTGGCCTTCTTTGAAACAACCAATAGGAACCCTGTAACTATGCTTTTCGCTTCTGTAACCACGCCTCTGCCCCTGGGATCCTATAAAAAGTCCCCCTTGCCCTAGGAAGGCGCGCAAGTCCTCCGAGAGACTTCTCCCCAGGTACCTGTGTTTCTGAATAAACCCTCTTGCTGTTTGCATCTGATCCGTGGTCTCGGCGTGTTCCTTCGGTTAGGGGTCTCTCCTGAGGGAAGATCTCCTCTGGGTGTCTTTCAGCCCTAACTCGAGAAATATCTCAGGCTGCAGACGTGGGAGACAGCTAGAAAAGTTAGGCCTGCAATAGGGGCCGACCGTAGCCAATGAAGACCGTGGTCGGGGGTCCCCCGGTCTCAAGAATACGTGTGAGGCGCCGGATGATCAACGGTCGTTCTCACAGATTCAGGAAACCGTTTACGCTGGCTGAAAAATGGGGGGACTCACCAATTGAAGAAAGCGGTGTTGGATGCAATTTGGATGCGGTTCAGGCGAATGGAGAGCAGTCTGTCGCGTATGGAGCAGATTCCCCGGTTTGCGGGCTGCCAGGCGCAGGGCGCCCGGAAGCGCCTGCTCGGTTTCGGCACCAAAATATTAGTTATTTAGCTGCGTTGTGTTCTTACCCTGCAAGGAAGTGTCACGAAACATGACAGAATCCGCTTATAGAGTTTATTAGAGATAAAGGGATAGGGAGTGTGCAGGCCTGTGGGAGAGACACGTGCGTGGAGAAGAGGGAGAGGAGAGAGAAGAGAGAGAACCGGGAATATGGCGCGCCGCTTTAAAAACTGGCTGGGGGTGTGGCCAGGTCACGTCACTACTCCACGTGTGTGCGTAGATCACATGGTCACGTTGCGCGCTTACGTAGCTATGTAACGTCA